GGCGGGGGCACCTTTTTTGGTTAAAACTCTTTTTGTCTTTGCGGTGCCCGCCCCGGAAGCCCCCCCCCTCTCATTTTCTCTTGGGGGGGGGGGAGAAAGTTGGGGCCTTGGGGGGGGGGGTCAGGGTCAGGATGAGAAGAGAGCCTAATGCACTAAATGGATGTGGGCCCTGCGCCATCTCCAGGTGCCACTACTACCTGGCATTCTGGCACAGGAACTAAGAGGATGAATTTAACTGATAGTCCCTGAGCTAAGGGGAATGGCCAGCACCCTGAGGAATCAGAAGAGGGGAACAGTGAGGAGGGCCCAGGTTGCAATCTAGCCTGAACCCTCCCAAAGCCACCTCTGGCCAGGCCTACATCCATACCAGGGCTCTTTCTCTAGAGGTAGGATAAACTGTCTGGGTAGGGTTCTTAGGACCAGGTATGGCCAGGAGGTGCAAACCCTGACACCCTGCAGATGGGGCCTCCCTGACATCACATGCAGATTTAGAGATGGGTTAGGAACCCTCTGAGGCAGGCCCAGAGCCTCTGGGCGGGGGGTGGGGCTGGCCCACGTGCTGTGCTCGAGGGGCTTCACAGGAGAACTCATTAGCCCCACAGTGGGGTGGTGACAGAGATGGATTCTGGTGACAGCTGTGTGCTGGAGCCACGCAGTGAGGGGAGGGGAAGGAAGGAGGGTTGGAGGAGCTGCCACAGGGGCCACATTAGAACACCCATGCCCCAAAACACTGGGACACAGGCCATGTGTTCTCTAGACCCTTCTAGTTCTCAACAGCCTGGCTCACCCACAATCCCTGGCTCAGGAGCCTGGTGCACCTCACTGCCACGGTTGAGCTATAGACACCTGCTTGGCAATATCCATGCTCTTGGCTACAAAGCTCTGTAGCCATTGGACAGAGCTTGGCCAGCAAGGGAGGAGCAGGCTGGCCCAGTCCAGCAGCACCAGCTAAGCTCCCTAGACAGGAGCTCCCTCTAGAGGAAAGGCAGAGCCTGGGTCTTGTGCCCTGCACAAGCCACTGAAATACACTGCCATTCAAGGGAAATCCTGCAAGATCACCAGGCCTCGCTCTGTCACCTGTCACCTTCCCTCCATCCTACTCCTCCACTCAGACTCCCCCCCTTGGACTCACATGTAGGCTAGGGTGGTATGTGAGCAGCCCATTGTCACAGAGTGTCACGTACTTCTTCTTCCACTCCTTGTTCAGGGACTTGCCACTCCGTTTCAGCAGGATCCCCTAAGGAGAGAGGTATAATCAGGGACCAAGAGCCAGGCATAGGTCACTGTGCCCCAAGGTCAGGGTCAACCCGAAACCAAGAGCCAGCCCATAGGTCTCTGGGTCTTGAGGACAGGGTCTAACTGAAGACCAGGAGTCAGCCCAACACAGGAAGGTCATAAATAGGTAATCCAATTCCACACCCCCACCCTCTCATGAGCCACTGTGTCTGGAGAGGTCTTAAGGACCTACAGCTGCACTAGACAGTGCACGCAGACACATGTTCCCACAGGCCTTGCTCTCCTTGGCCATCCAGCAGGAAGCTGGTTTGGGTTGTTCTTGACCCTGAAGGCACCACAAAAAAGGTGAGGGACAGCTGCAAAGGTTTCTGCTCTTCCACCACCTGAGTCAGCTCCAGTATAGGGCAGAAAGATCTCATACCTGTCCCAACAATGCCCCAGACCCCATGCTAGGCACTGGGAAGTCTCAGCCTCCCGTCTCAGCCACTGGTAAGCAAGTAAGATGTCCCACCAGCCCCAGTACAGAGGGCTTCGTAGGCAAGCTCTTACTACCAAGCTATACCCCCAGATCTCTTTTTACTTTCTAAGACAGGCTCTCACTGTTGCCTAGGCTGCCCTTGAACTTACTCTGTAGCCCAGGAATGCCTTCAATTTATGGTCCACCTGCATCAGCTTTCTGAGTAGCTGGGATTACAGGTTTGCACAACCAGGCCTGGCATGAGATGCTTTTCAAATGTGGAAGCTAGCACCAAGACCAAGACTAAGTCCCATAAGCACAAGGACATTTGTGTGAATTATGTGCAACGATAAACTCTCAGCACTCGTGACATCAGGGCCTTAGCAGATACTTAGGAAGTATCTGTTGCCAGAACCAGAAAAGGTATGTGTGGGTGTCTCCCCCCTGCCTCCGCCTGTATTGTGTGGTTGTCAAGTGATGAGGGCAGGACATAGACCCTAGTGGATGATGCCCAGTCACAGCCAGCCACATTTCTTCTGGGGAGAAACCTGCTCCTCTAATAACCCTCCAAAGACACCCTCACCCTATCAGACCACAGGTACCACAGACGAGAACACCTGGGAACATGGGCACCATAGATAGGCATCAGGTGATCAGCCTCCTAAGCTCCCAATTCGGTACAGGTAGGAAGAGAAAGTGGTTAGATCCACATACTGGGGCTTGGTGGCAGGGGTCAGGATAGAGACTGCTATGGTTAAGAAAGGTGACATTGCCCATACATGGAGTGGACTGGCAGGCCCTGCTCTCAGACAGCCAGTAAAATGGTGGAAGAATTCTGTATGAGAAAATGGGCGGTCCTTCTGCTTCCACTTGGAGGCCCAAGGGTAGGCACCAAGTATCCGATTCAACTACATGCTTCTCTCTGAGTCCTTGAGTTAATGGACGAGATGAACACACATGATTAAAGGGCAGACATGAGGGTGTATGCCTGTATTCCCAGTGCTTGAGAGGCTGAGGCAGGAGGCTAGCAAGTTAAAGCCAGACAGTTTTGATTATATAAAAGAGGATTAGGATTTCCAAGTGATCTCACCCACACCCACTAGGGGGCGAAGTAGAGCTGAAGAAGGGTGCTCAAAGGGAGGCCAGGGTGCTCAAAGGGAGGCCAGAACAGCTTTAGTTCTCTGGCTCCCACTTTTTAACAATGTTTCATATTTTGGCTACCACAATCCTCACCACAGGCGATGCAATGACACTCAGGGCATCTTGAGAGCACACTCTCAAAAGGAACTTCTAAAGGGTGCCTGGGACATTAAAACAAAAAGTCAGTTCAGACCATGTGGTCTACTGAAGGAGCCTTGATTTCCAGCTCCCTCTGCCTGGGGCTGCAGGGGAGAACCAAGCTGGAGGCTCCTTCTCCTTGACCTCCCGCAATGGCCCTCTGGGCAGACAGTCATTAGGAAGGCGGAGGTAAGGAAGAATGGATGGCCAGGTGGGTGGTATGGATTCTGGGTCATCCCCAGCTGTCTAGCTTCTCCTCACCACAGGGCTGGTCCTGGGCCTCTACACCCGAACCCTGAGCTTGCTCAGTCAGTGCTCACAGCAGACCTTCCCTCCCAGACTGCAGGCCCAGGCTCCAGCCTCTACTCCCTTCTGTGCAGAGCATCCCCAAACCATGACAGCTCTGGCCTGTCTCTGGATGGAGCGGCCTAAAGGTCCCCAAGCATGCCAATGCGGACAAACCCAGGTCCTCCTCCACCAGAACAGAGGTCATGGGGGTCAGAGGTCAGACTGCTGCGGAGGCAGCTCGGAAGGGAAGCCCTTTCCGTCTGCCCCGCCCCTCTCCCCTCGATTAATGAGGCTTGTTATCTGAGGACGTGGGCACGGTGCCCAGCACTCACCAGCAGGCCAGGGCGGCCGACCCGTACCGGCCCCCCCCTCCCCCGGAGGGGAGCGGCCGGCCCGCTGCGCACGGTGGAGCAGGAAGCAATCTGGGGCGGAATGGGAGCGGCGCGGAGGCGACAGCCCCCAGAGGACCCGTTCCCGCCGCCGCCTCCCTCCCAGCTCCGCCAGCCGACTTAATTGCGGAGTCCGGATTGATTGGGAATGCAAATGGCAACTGAAATGCAATCTCCACTCCCAGCAGGAGCTAGGGGGAGGGGAAGGAACCAAAATGGGGTGACCGGGACGGGAGGGTGGGAAAGGGGAGGGGCCGAGGATGCAGCGGGGTAGGGACCAGCCCCAGCGAGGAGAGGAGGAGGAGGAGGAGGAGGAGGAGAAGGAGGAGGAGGAGGGGGAGGGGGAGGAGGAGGAGCCCCGGTGACCCCACCCCCAAGGGCGGGTCCCGCCAAAGACGCAGGGGCAGGCTCTGCCCAGTGGCCGCAAGGATGAGAGTTGGCAGCACCGTGCAGGCCTTTCCGGAAGGCTCAGAGACTACCTGACTCCTGGCTGCAAGTTCACAGGGCTTCCTCCTCCCTCCAGTCCCTGCATGTGGGGGCCCCAGAGAACAAACAAGCCAGCCCCCAACTATCACAACCCCCAGGGCAGAAGCCGCATTCATTCACTCCACAATGGTGTGGAGTATACACTGGCCCTCCTCCCCCTCCTCCCTTCACACAGGACTAGCCTGCGTCCCAGTGCATTTGCTGCTTCATGCAGCAGGAGGCCCCTGGCCACATGGGACCAAGCAATCAACAGGCACCTGTGTCACTGATTCTGTGGACACAGGATCACACAGGCACAGTGTGAGAGTGACAGGAGGAAGGGGGAGGGGACTGTCACTGCTGCCGGTCTGTGCCCTCATCCTTTTCAGATGACCTTCCAGGAGGCTGACCCAAAAGGAACGGCCCCTGCCAGACATGAATTCAGTGAATGTTTCAAACAACATAGGGATGAAATAGGGAAGGCAGGTGATAGAAGAGGATGAGAGAATGTTTCCCTTCCCTGCCCTGCCCTCTGGGCCCTCACACATCTCCTAAACATACCTTCAAGAGCCTCAGAATCCCCAACCTTGACATGTGAACCCTACACACCAGCCTGCCCCTCTAAGAGTTGATACTGCCGATGGGCCCACAGCCCCAGGGAGGGCTAGACTTGACCACAGGCCCTGGCCAAACCCAGATCTGGACACACCAACCTTTTCTGGGGTCGAAATGTGACAACAGATTTTGCCCCCTGTAGACACTAGGAAGACCTAGACCACACCAGTACCAAGAAGGGGTCTGGCTGGCTGGCCCTATCAGATGTCTGTACATTCAAACATTGTCTCCTCCACCCAGTAGTAAGGGGTAGACCTCCTTCTAAGCTTGAGTAAAGGCACAGCCATTGGTCCATGTCTTTTCCAGCACAGGTAACCCCAACAGGAGGTCTGGGAGAACCAAGGTTGGGTGGGCTGCTCCCAGCGAGTGACTCAGAGAAGAGATGGAGAAGAGATTGGAAGGTGGTGTCTCTACAAAGCTTTTCTTTAAAAAACAAAAGGCACAGAGATTTGTGTGCCTTCTCAGTAAGTAGAGCTCAACCCTTACCAAAGGAGCTTCTTTTTGCAGCAGAAAGAGACTATTATAGAGAACCACGACTGGGCAAAAGACAGAATAAGTGACCATGGAGTGTCCAGCCCCAAATGGGACATTTATAGCACAACCCCCTACATCTAAGGTTCAAGGAGCAGCTCAGAAGAAGGGATAGAAAGTTTCAAAGACCTAGAGAATGGGACAACTGAGATAGTGTCTTCTGGACAGGACAGGGATGCTGGGCCCATGAACTCTCAACAGTATGGTTGCCTGCATAGGCCCACACCAGTTGACATGCCATCATGGATGGGCGAAAAGTTCACAAGATCCCACCCCTAAATGAAGAGCTACAGTAAGTCAATGCTGCTGGAGGAGAAAGAATCTGCTTTCCTCTCTCTCTACCTCCTCTTAATCATCGTCCTTTTTGTTTGGTTTGTGGTTTTTGAGACACAGTTTTGCTGTGCAGCGAGGACTGACCTGGAACATCTCATGCAATCCAAGCTGGCCTCAAACTACTAACACTCCTGCCTCTGCCTCTCTGAGCTAGGATTACAGACATGTGCCCAACCCCTTAGGTTATGGTCCTGAACTCTCTTCCTTAGCCTAGACCCCAGTAGCCCCCTCTGCAGGTTGTACTCCAGAAGCAAGTCTAGGAGCCAACTGAGGGCAGCAAGTGGCTCTCTGCTGCCCTCCAGTGGTAATGAGGAGGGACAGGCAGAGCTATGGTCCCAGAAGGCAGCAGCCTAAGGAAGAGGCTGCTGAGCACCAGTGCCTTGCTAAGATCGGTGCCTGGGAGGGAGGAGCTTCCCCAGTACCACCTCCCCACCTCAGAGGCCCTGAGCAGCACACTATAGTACATCCTGCAAAGAGTGCTGACCTGCTTAATAGGGATGGCCCGGCCGCTCCCAATACTGTCCACCTTGCACTCAGCAGCTTTCTTCTCCCGGTCCAGGTCAGCACCTTTTCGAGACTGGAAGAGAAAAGACAGGGAGCATTAGAGACTCGGGGCCTTCAGGGAGAATGCCCACCTGCAGTTCCAGGCCCTCCCGCCTTCCTCCCGCTCCTGGGTAGTCCTAGCACTGGGTCAGGGCCTGGGCGGCGGGTCGGGAAGGAACTGAGACACGAGTATTCCAATGGGTTTATTCTTACACACGGCACCATACAGAGCAGCACAGGTCACTGAGCCGGGCCCGCCCCTCACAAAAGAGCAAGGACATGAAATACGGAGGGCGCGATGAGTACGCAGCCCAGGGGCCAGGGTGTAAGTGAAGGGACGGGCAAGGAGAGGTGGCCCGGTGGGGCTGAGGGCTGGCTAGGAGAACAGGGCACGACAACCGGGGACAGCAAAGTCCAGAAGTGAGCGGGTAGGTGGCCCATTTGCGGCACAGACACCACACGGCACATGGCACCGAGCGCGTCGGTGTGGCCCGAGGGGCACAGTGGATGGAGAGAGAGAGGAGAAAGGCCAGAAGAGGCCCTGCGCCCTGCCAAGCTCCTGGGGCAGAGTCCACCCAAATGCGGATCCTAGGAAACAGGGGAGGCCAAAAAGAGGGGGCAAGGCAAGCGCGGTGGCGGCGGCTTCCGGAGCAGGAGCAGGAACGGCAGAAGTCCATGCAGGAAGGAGCAGAGGAGGGGAGGGGCAGGAAAGCTCCCCCCAGGAGCAGCTGGGCCAGCGGGCTTGGGTGCCCCCGCCCTTCTGGGCCTCGTCGCTCTGGCCGGCCGGAGTGGGCCGAGCTCCCTTCTTCTCCATGCAGCGAGCCTGGCGCAGCGTCCAGCCGGGCCTGGTCCCCGGCAGCCCCCAGCGCGGGCTCCGGCGTTCCTAGCCTTCCCTGGGGGTGGGGTTAGTTACAAAGGTTCCTGTGGGTCTCTGGAGCGGGGAGCTCGGCGGCCGCTTCTCATCTGAGAGCAGTCCCAGGGCCCGGCCCGTCTCCGGCCCGCACAGGGGGAATGTCCAGAGGTGCTGTGTCACCACCTGGTCTTCTAATTTGGAAGGAGTTGGAAAGGCCTTTTTGTTGATGAAAAGTTGGAAACAGTGGCACATATCTGCAAATATCGAAAGAATAAAGATTTTGGCAAGTTATACTTAAGCCCCACAAAAGTCGGTCAGCACTGGTGAGGGCAGAGACCCAGGCGCCTGGGGAGAAGCGGCAGCGGGATGAAGAGGAGGTTGAGGAGGAGGAGGAGTTGGAGGAGAGGAAAAGGAGAGGAGGAGGAGGAGGAGGCCGCCAACCACTGGGCCGATGTGGCCCAGCAGTCCATCTCAGCAGGGGATGTTCACCACTCGGCTGCCCGGGCCCCATCCCTCCTGTTCTCCCAGGCTTCCAGGAGCCAAGGGCACAGAGAGGGCACAAAGGATTGCAACTGCAGTGTGGGAGAAAGCCCAGCCAGGGGGAACAGGAAGAACTGGGCTGGCTGCTAGAGGGTAAACCGTCACCCAGCAGCTCCAGGGACAGCACCTGACTCCACTCCCCTCCTGGGTGCCAAAGCCCAAGGCTACAGCTCTCAGCCCCTTTGGCCCAGGGAGAAGGAAGGTGGGTGGGACTCCTACCATTGGGTCCCCAGACAGAACTGCCTGTCAGGATGAATGTGATGCAGCCCACCCCAGCCAGGCTGGTAAGCCAAGGGGCTGCCAAATACCAGAGGACCCCCGGAGCCCAGAGGGGCATATCCCCATGGAGAATGGGAACTGGAACCAGGGCAAGAGTGGCACTAAATGAATACATGGAGTCATGGGGGTACATCACAACCATGCCCAGTGAGGGGTCACCAGCCACAAAGCACGCAGCACACAAGGGGATCCCCCTAGAGCAGGTGTGACTCTTCTGGGAAGGATGATAAGAGAATGGTGGCCCCAACAGCAATGATGGGGTGAAGTCCCAAGATACACCCACAGAGTCCAACATGCCTCGAGGCTGCTTCAGGGACAAGGGCGCAAGTGAGGTCACCATGGAAACAATGGAAGGAAAGTAAGATCGCCACTGTGAAGATGGAGAGAAATGGAAGGGCCTGGAGGGAAGGCCGTGTGGGGGGTGAGGGGTGTGGGCAGGGGGAAGGCAGCACAGTTGAGGCAGGCAGGCAGCAGAGAGCACATGGAGGGAGCATGAAGGTACCACGGTGAGGAAGCCACGGATTTGGGCATGGCAGGGGGAACGGGGAGGCAGGGAGGCAGGGGAGGCAGGGAGGCAGGGTGCCTTGACGCTGAACCAGCTAGCGGGGAAAGATGGAGGTTAAGAATGGAATCAAGGCAGTGGATGACTGAGACACGATGTTGTGAGAACAAGCTACAGAGGATGCCAATGGTGATCAGTGATGTAGGCAACCAAGGGCTCAGCAGCAGCAGCAGCAGCAGCAGATATGGACACGAGCAGGCAGCCACCAAGGCTCTGCACATCTCAATGGATAGAACAGAACAGAAAGAAGCTGTGGGTCTGGCAGGGTCCGGGCTGGATAAGCACAGCGCACCCCAACAACAGCAGCAGCAGCCGTCAGCAGAAAGAGGCCAGTGAGCGCGCACACCAGGAGCCAGCAGACTGAGGGAAGCGGCAGTAGGGAGAGGTGTGGGGGGCAGGGCAGAGGTGAGGATGAAGGAAAGAGGCCTAGGGGCACTGGCTCTGTCTGGGCAGGGTCCAGAGAAACTGGCCTGGCCAGCTGGACACAGGGCCAGGCCAAGAACCAAGCCCTGGCTCTCAGAAAGAGGTGTGGGATGACGCAGAGGGACGGGCTGCTCACCCACCTTTGTCTGCCCATGGCTCCTGGAACAGTCCAGTCAGAGCCCCACAGGAAGGCCACAGCTGGGGCAGGGAGGGTCATAGTGTGTAAAAACTGGGATCAGGAGCAGCAGGCTCAGGGGCCAAACAGCTGACGGGCTGACCCTGAGCGGGGAGACTCAGCAGATCCCAGGTTGGGACATGAGGTTGTTGGGGAGGGGCAAGGAGCTCACAAGGAGACAGGACGAACCTGAGCGGGAGGCGAGGCAGCGTGGTGAAGCCCAGGAAAAGATGGCTAAGCCTTTGTTAAACCAATCACAGCGGTGGGTGGGAAGCATGAATTTTCCCCTCGGCAGTGGGGTAACGGAAAAAGAGCCGGAAGGCGGACTGGGAGGCCTGGCTGGGACTCTAGCTGGGCCAGCTAACCCTCTGTGTCGCCTTGGGCAAACAGCCTTCCGGCCTCCGGTTCATTAGCTGTTGAATCAAAGGGGGTCAGGGGTGTTAGGCCATGAGTTCAAAGATCCCTTCAAGCTGATACAGAAACCCTGGGGGCTGGGAGAGAGGGAGGCTGCAGGGGGCGAGCATGTGCACTGGGGGGGGGTGGTCTGTGGTAAGCACAGTGAAGGGAACCCCTCCTGGGCTCAGAGGTATGGTCTGGAAGATGCTGAGGGCCCGATGAAGAACCTCCAAAAGCCGTGTATGTCTATGTGAGAGAGGCTGCAGGTGGCATCCTTCTGACCTGGGGCTGCCTGCCTCCTGGCCAGGAATTCGGTGCAGCCCCGCCTGCGCAGTGACAGCAGCTGGGCCAGGAGGAGGACGGGGCACGTACCGTGAAGATGTTGGAGCGCCGCTTGGACTGCTTGCGGATGGGCGTGGGGGTGGAGGAGGCAGCGATGGTCTCGATGCGCAGCTCCCGCTGGCTGATGCTGGGGGTGGAGGGGACTGAGGCCGAGTAGTCGCTGAAGGCGCTGCCACCGCCATTCGTGGCCTAAGAACAGAGAGGGCTGCTGAGGGGGCTTTGGGGGTGGAGGGAGGGGCAGGAGTTGCTGCACTAGCTCCTGAAGGTGGTATCAGGAGGAGATGGCACATCTCAAAGGCCAACAGAATCCACACCATTGGGAGCTGTGAGCCTTTGTCCTGGGGCCCTGGAAGGGGTGGAGATGGAGGTGGAGGGACTTCTGCGCCACCCTGGTAGCCAATCAGAGGCAGAGGCTGACAAGAAAATCAGGGCAAGGCCCGAGAGTGAACAAATGCTGGTGTGGTGGCTTTCAGGAGGTCTGAAACAGGAATACACGGCCCTTCAGGAACCCTCACAGGCATGTGTGTCAGGGGCAGGAGGCGGGGAGGTGCCATGGGCTAGGGCTGGGCTCAGGGTGTTGGGCAGTCTGAGGTCTGTTTTGAAGACAGTGCATGGCAAGGGAGGCATCAGGAATAGCGGAGGCAGAGCGCAGAACAGAGCAAAGGCTGCCAGGCAGAACAAGCTGCAGACGGGGAATGGAGGAGGGAAAGGAAGAACTGAAAGCAGTCACAGGATGGAGACAGAGTACGTGGACGCGTCTTCCCCAGGACCAAGGACATGATGCAGAGAAATCCGGCATCGAGCCTCTACCAGCCCTCACTGGAGCCCCAGGCCTGAACTCCAACCCTAACCTGGGTCAAGGGATTGCAATGGACCTCCGCCCTCAGCAGCCTCCCAGGGGCAGGTCCACTGCAAAGGTGCAGGGTGGGACTCTGGCCCTACTGGTGGAGGTATACACTTACAGAACTCCAATCCTCCTCCTCCCCCCGCCCACCTTGTCCTCACCCCCTCCTCTCTCCTCTTTCCCACAAGAGATGGTACAAGAATCCTCATGCCTTCCCACAAGTCCTAATAAGAGTCCTGGCACCTCAGCCAGGCTGCCACTGGAAAGTACAGCAGGTGCTGACCTGACCATCCACTGAACCTATCTGTGGATGATTCTGGGCTTGCAGCAGAAGGCAGTGAAGGTGGGGGTACAGTGATGGAACCAAAATGAATCCAGCAACAGGCCCAGATGGGGACAGGTGTTCAAAGTGTATTACAAGAGAAGTTCTAGCAGGACCTGGCTTAGACTCTCCACCACCGGAAGAGGTGCTGAAGGCCAACCACCCTGAAGGCATGTGCCACCCTTCTAATAAACAAACACTGCCTCAGGGAAGAGAGGGCCAGCATTGGTGCTTAGTGGGCATACGGGTATAGTAAGCTCTGCTGCTTTTCTGGGAAAAAGCACTGCAGCTGCAGGCCAGAGGGCAGGCCCAGAGAGAAGAGGGAGTCGGGCCTATCTTACAGAGGGTTAGTGGTTAGAATGCCTCAAAGAACTTTCCTTTCTTTCTGTGCCTATTGAGAATGCTTTCCACAAGCAGCAGCTTAAGAGCCAACTGTAATGTGTCTGAGCTGTTTTAGCTGAGTGGATGGGAGGGGAAGACAGTAGAGAGGAAGTCGCCACAGGGAAGAGCCCAGACTGAGGCTAACTGCAGGCAAAACAACTAGAGCCACAAGCAAGGTCAGATGAGAGAGGCAAGCAAGTGTGAGGAGGAGGCAGTGGTGCTGGGACACAGACAGGACCAGAGACACAAAGAGGTGACCGCACCTGATTGATGTGTACAGCGGGGATGGAGGCGGCGGACACAGCCGAGTGGCTGGGCGAATTGGGCAGGGACTTGCAGGGCCCAATGGCCAGCTGCTGCTTCTTCCGCAAGGCTACCACTTTCTGGGCCACTGCAGGGAATAGCAGAGTCAATTCTAATGGGGGAGAAGAGCTGAAAGCCTAGCTTGACAACTCCCCTCAATACACACAGCCCTGCTTGCCAGAGAGCCTCCCTACACCCGGCTCTGGGGCCCGAGTTACCATCTTGGAAGACTCGCTCCACATTGAGCCCATAGGTTGCGCATGTCTCGTAGTAGGTGCAGCGCTTCAGATCTGTGGACAGCTTGCGGGCCCTGCTGTCATCGATGACACGGGGGTTGGCAGCGCTGATGGCATCTGTTGGAGAATGGGGATCACTCAGCTGGGTAAGAAGCAATGGAGATTTATGCTAGGACAGGTAGGAAGAGACCCAAGTGGGGTGCACGGAACACATAGAACTCAGGGGCCTGGGCCTTCATTCATTCTGCTGTGACCTCTCTGAGTGAAAACAAATCAATTACTTCATCTGAGTCCTTGCTTATTCACAGAAAACAAATGTGGACATAGCTTCAGGAAGGCTAAAGCAAGGGGACTGGCAAATTCAAGGTCAGCCTGGACCAGACCTTGTTTCAAAAAACCAAAAACAGCTGGGCATGGTGACACATGCCTTTAATCCCAGCTCTTGGGAGGCAGAGACAGGTGGATCTTTGTGAGTTCAAGGCCAGCCTGATCTACATAGTGAGTTCCAGGCCAGCTGGAGCTAGAGGGAGGCCCTGTCTCAAAAAGACCAAAAAACAAACAAACAAAACCAAAAACAAAGGGGTTAGAGAGATGGCTCAGGGGTTAAGAGCACTGGCTGTTCTTACAGAAGACCTGGGTTCAATTCCCAGCACCCACTTGGTGGCTAAAAACAGTCCATAACTCTAGTTCCTGTCCTCTTCTGACATCTGTAGGCATTGCACAACAAGGGTGCATTTACATATATGTATGCAATACACTCACACATAAAAATAAAAAACAAGCCAGGCATGGTGGTGCATGCCTTTAATCCCAGCACTTGGGAGGCAGAGGCAGGCGGATCTCTGTGAGTTCAAGGCCAGCCTGGTCTACATAGTGAGTTCCAGGACAGCTGGGGCTACAGGGAGACCCTGTCTCAAAAAGACCAAAAAATAAAATAAAATAAAATAATATTTTTTAAAAAAACAAAAAAAAAGAAAAAAATGCCTATGGACATGACAGTCATGTGGATTGAGAAACTCACCCCAGGAAAAGAAAATTGGGGACCCTAAGATGCTGACCCCAGAGAAGTTAAGATTCTGTGGGCACTTGCAGGGATGGGGGGCTGGGGTTCTCATGGCCTGTGGTTCTCATGGCCTGCCTACCCAGAATTAACTGGTCCACCCTCATGCCCTGATTCACTCGGGCCTTGCCTCACCCTGCGTGCCCACCAGCACCATGGGCACCTCGCTGGCATTTCGGAAGCTGCAGAGGCGCAGGAAGTAGTTGTACACTGTCTGGAAGCTGATTTCGTCCTCCAGGCTGAACACAAACACGACCGCATCCACCCAGGCAGCAAACTGGGGAGACAAGCAGAGTCAGCACCTCACTGGCCCTAGTAATCTTGGTCACTAACATGGGCAACTCAGCAGAGACATCACCTGGAGCTCAGGGGGGCCTCCTTCATCTCGGATCAGCAGCAGGTAACTCTGGCCATCCACCACAATCTCCTTTTTAAACCGACCCCCTACAACAGAGCGCAAGGTCAGGACCAAATGTGGAGAAAGGATGGGGCAGTGGGGAGCAGAATGGGCAGAAGCCTCAGTCTCCCTAAGGAGAAAGGAAGAGGATGGGCGAGAAAAGGAGGGAGAGAGCCCCATGAAGACAGAGCCCCACACTGACACTGTGATGGAGGATCAGGAAGCCTGTGGCCAGCCTCTAGGCAGTCTGGCCTGTGATGCTCACCTTCAGGGGACTCCTCCTGGACGTAGGTCCCTGTCAGATAGCGATGCACCAAGGCGGACTTCCCACTAGATAGGTTCCCCACTATGCCCTGCAGGAGAGGAATGGGTAGAGCAGTGATCAGAGGGCACGAGAGAAAGCAGAGTGGGGCTCAAGGGAGAAGAATGAACATGCAGGTCAGAAAGGCAAGGAGAGGCCCAGAAAAGCCAGAGTTGGAGGGGCAGGCAGCCAACAGAGGCTGACAGAGAAGAGTGGAAGCCAGGAGAAGCAAGGTCCATACCCACGGTCCAAAGCCCAGCCCACCCAGCCACAGTGCCTCTAGGCCTCCCTCAGCCCACTCACCACTTTAAGCTCTGGTACAGAGCGGCTCAGGGTCCACTCCTGACTGTTCACAAATGAGTCTGTGAAGACAGAGCCACTCCATCAGGGACACACACACACACACACACGCATGCACGCACACACGCTCGCACGCTCAAGTATCCTAACCATCAGTGCTACCTACGATGCCCCTCTCCTGGCCACAGCCTAATTTCCTAGGGTGCAGAGGGAAACTTCTGGGTAAAACAGAGGACAATCTTCAGGGAAGGCTCGTTAGCTGTGGCTCCAACCTCCCCCCTCCTCTTTATGGCCCATCAGTAGATTCCACCTGAGCTCACCTAGCCGGGCACTCTGAGTGCTTCTCACCCAGGTGAGAGGCTTCCCCAGCAGGTCTCAGACCAGACCTAAAAAGG